GTGGGCCAGGAGGCGAGTTGGTAAGAGGTGAGTCGGTCAGGGGGCGAGTTGGAAAGGGGTGAGTCGGTAAGGGGCGAGTCGGTCAGGGGGCGAGTTGACCTGACACCTTTGACTTGTACCTGGCTATGAGGTTGATCATGCAGGATGGCGGGTATTCTGCAATTGAGCCGTGAATTATTCTTTTTCTTTTGTGCCGACGGCCAACCATAGTTTCAGCTGCCACTTGTAAGAAAACCACAACTGTGACGTTAAATTAAATCTTAGAATACAGTAGGCTTAAGTAAATAAAATCTTAGCCTACAGTCAGTAGGCCTTCATTGTAGAAGAGAATTAACCTGAGCACTGGAAACTCTCTTCGCACTTTTTCTCAAAGCCAAAGTGAGAAAAGATTTTGACAGATTTTTCCACAAGCACGACAAGTAGGAAAAGGATTTTCACAAGTGGGAAATTATTTTCACATCTTGTGGAAATGTGAATGTGCAAATTAATTTTTTCAAACAAAAAATTTCCACAAAACAGCTATCAGAAAGTGATAACATGTCCTAAAAAATGAAATTTATCTGGTAAATTCCTTAGCATGTACTTAGAAAACACTTAAGTTTTTTCAGACAAGTCTCATAAGTTTGTGCACAGGGGTATCAAGTGTTGTCCGTATGAAGCTCTTTCTCCTACAATATGGAAACAAAGTTCAAGGAAAAACAATTTGAATATATGCCTAATTCTGATATTTTTTCAAACAAAACAAAAATCAATATTAATCCATAAATACTTGGGACAAGGAATTTTTAATTCCTACTGGTCGAAACGCATCATGTGACCGTGTATTAACATTTGATATGCCCACTGAGATGTGATAATGCCCGCTGTGTAAATCACATGCTGGCACGTGGATAGGAGACAGTTTAATTGGGTCTGACTGATCAGGACTCTGTGTGTACGTGACGTGTGATTGACGTGCAATGCGCGTGCTAACTTCATTAAAGGGGATTCTATTGGACAACTTTCAAAAAGAATATACCATAAAATGGACAGGGGTGTTGGGGAAAGTGAAAGTAAAGTTTTAGAACAAAATCGTTGGAAATCCATCACATGTTGACTTCTTTTGACTTTCTGAATAAAAAGGTATTTGTGAATGGGAATACATGTATAATATGTGCTTGGCCGGACCTTGCTTTGGAGAACGAATGCTGATAATGCCCTCGCTTGTGGCTTGGGCATTAGTCATATCCATTTCTCCTGAGCCGGTCTTAAATGCATGTTTAATACTTGCAAAGTACATATTTCTTCCTTATTTATTTTTTTTTTTGGGGGGGGAGGGGCAGTGTAAAACTGCATATTTACCCGGCACTGGCAATTTCTAGGCACCTACTAAACAATATTTTGACAGACACATGCACAGCAGCTGTTTTTGGGCTTAGAAATTCTTACCATGACTAATCGTCATCTGGTTCTGTGCCAAATAGTGGTTGTAACTTTGTATTAAAAAGGTGGGAATCAGACATTTTACAATTTCAGACTTTTCCCCCCCAAAAAATCCTCCAGAGCCCAAATCAAAAAAAAAGAAAACTGAGTTGTTGGAGTCAATTTAGAATTAACCCTAACCCTACATAATACTACAAATTACTACTTGTAGTAAAATCTAGTAATCAGCGCTGCCGCTTGTAAGAGGACATGACCGTATTGTTCTCTGAAGCCATAAAATACAATAGAAAAGGCAATGTACCATACAGTGCTGTGCCACTATGAATGCATGACTTTATTGTTCTTTGTGCAAGTAATCAATGGAAGTCACCTAGCCAGAAGTAGTAACCTGTAGCGCTAGGTCCTTCAGGCTCAGGCTATTACTTAGTATTTTGTAGTACTGAGTACTGTAAGCCAAAATATAAGCTCAGTGGTTAGGGTTAATGGAAGAAGCATATTCTTAATTTTTTCGGACGAAAAAAGTGGTAATATTTGGTGTTTGAACCCAGCTGGGAGTGTGTCATGTGATCTCAGGATGTGCATGCCTTTCCCCTTCATCACAGATCCTGCTCAAATTTCACTGTAATTTAATAACTTAACAGACTCACTCATGTTTACATGTGAAAGAGGGCACTGTCTACTTGTAGCCGGGTAAATTGGCTAAATACCATTTTGAAGATTTTTGCCAGTGCTGGGCGATATGCACACTATCTGTTTTTTCTAAACTTGCGTTATTTGGAGTCAGCAGGTTCATTATCCAACTAATAAAACATGTTTGCCTCACCAATTAAGGTGCTCTATGACACCAATACATTACAAACACAACCGTATATGACCTTGTACAAGTTATCCCTGATGTATCATACCTGTCGTCATTCATATGCAAACTCAGAACAATAAAAGAAGATGTTTTTGTGTCTTGCTATTGGCACAAGTTGGTTCTTTATCCTCCTTGCCCATCAAGGGCCTAGGAAAATTTAGTAAGATTTGAAAGATCAGAGGACTGGACAAGCTGGGATAGTTTTGTCTATGATGCCTTGATGAAAATGTGTTTTTTGTATTGCTTTGTTTTGATTTGTGTGAAAAAGTAGTTGATTGTTTTTGCTTATGGACTGAGCGCAATGCCTTGGTTAAATTTGTCACTGATAATTTTTTGATTTCCAATAATTTTTCCCACAATGCTTTTCATGTTCTTGTGATACAAATAACGTGACAAGTGTAAGTTTCAGATCTAACAAGTTGTGTTAATTTCATACATTTGTTTACATGATGTGCAAAATTCTTCATCTGTTCCTACAATAACATTTTTTCTAAGTTATTTTGCTTCCTACATGTGTCTGATATCACTAGATTTGTGTTTCATTTCAATTTCTTGAAAAAAGACACTTGGTTTCATTTCAATTTCTTGAAAAAAGACACTTGGTTTCCAGCTAAAAATGGGATCGTTGAAGTTTGGTTGAGAATTTCCCATGGTATCGAAGTTATTTGAACATTTCTTTTATTTTCATGCCGGAATTCTGCAGCGTGTTCTTGTCTTGGTGTCATTTGACGTCGATGCCATATGCGCTTGTAAAATCCTGCAAGCCTTGTTCCACTGTGACAGTGTTCAGTACACGTTGGTGCCTGTGGCCGGCAAGATGGATTGGGAACGAGCATTTTCAGAGCATGCAGAGCAGGTAATGTGCCAAACTCACGCCGTTCGTTCAGGCTGTCGGTGCACATCTTAAACACTTTCTCAGTCAACAAATGTAGTAGTAATTACCCTTGCATTTTGGGCATGACATTATTTTGATAGGAAAAACAGGAGGTTGAATGTCTGAATATCTTACAAAGTACAGATTGTGTTCAAGAAACAGGCTTCACCACAGAGCTTGAAAGGGAGTGGCCATATTGCATGGTGCTGCTCAGTTTGGACCGTACCATTATCTGAAGGGGTGATTCTCATATATTCATGTGAGGCAAACTCCTTGTTCATAAAGAAGCTTTAATTTCCAACCAATCCCAATTCTGCCTATCACTGACAGCATTCCAGGTGGAAAGATTTCACAGATTGTCCGATACTGTTGTTACTTTTTTTAAAGTGAGATAGTTAAAGGTACAGTAATTACAGTGGTACATGTTTACAGTTTTACAATGGTACATGTATACACTACCATTAAATCTGTAAACAGCTTTGTTGATGGCTTTGTTTATATCTGCATAAAATAACTTGAGTTTTATCTTCATCATAATTGTTGGCATTGGTTTCACGATGCCATTGGTTGCCCTTGCTAGGTAAATTTGTCACTTCTATAAAATTGATCGTTCAATATTTTTGTATAAATTTTATCATTTGCTATTGTACTAGCTTGAGTTTGTCGTTATGATCAATTGTGGTGCAACGTTGGACATCCTAGAGACATTGCAACCAGAAGAGAATGTAACCTTCTTTGTATGTGACAGCCATCGACCTATGGACCTTGTTAATGTCTACAATGACACTCAGGTAATTTCCACTTACCTTATCACAGAAATCAGTTTTGTGCAATTATGGTGATAAACACAAGTGATAATATGTTACAATACCGTAATTAAAAATATTTGATTCATTTTCATGGAGTTTTTTACCTTCTATACTCACTGGGTCCTCTTCTAAAACGAAGAGTAGATTGAGTTTTCTTTGTGCACTTGCTTGGGAGGTTCTCCAACAGATTGAGAAGTCACTGATTTTGATTATGCCTTGTTTCCCCCTAGTTCTCACTTGTGCTTCCCCTACTTCTCACCTGCTATCCCCTAGTTCTCAACTGTTGTTCCCTAGCTCTCACCTGCTATCCCCTAGTTCTCACCTGCTATCCCCTACTTCTCACCTGCTATCCCCTATAGTTCTCACCTGCTATCCCCTAGTTCTCACCTGTTGTTCCCTAGCTCTCACCTGTTATCCCCTAGTTCTCACCTGTTATTCCCTACTTCTCACCTGCTATCCCCTAGTTCTCACCTGTTATTCCCTAGTTCTCACCTGCTATCCCCTATAGTTCTCACCTGCTATCCCCTAGTTCTCACCTGTTATTCCCTAGTTCTCACCTGCTATCCCTTAGTTCTCACCTGCTATCCCCTAGTTCTCACCTGCTATCCCCTACTTCTCACCTGCTACCCCTTAGTTCTCACCTGCTATCCCCTACTTCTCACCTGTTATTCCCCACTTCTCACCTGCTGTCCCCTAGTTCTCACCTGCTATCCCGTCGTTCTCACCTGCTATCCCCATAGTTTTCACAGTATTTTTGCTGGGTTTATGTCAGTCACACAATTTTCACCATAAATTCATGTCCTTCCTAGAAATCTGTTTAATAATCAGATCCAATACATGTTCATAATTTCTGTTCTGAGCCTTAGTAAAAAAATAATAAACCATCTCGAGAGCGACCAACAAAAACAATTAAATTTTTATCCATTCTCCTTCCCACTTGGTCACAATAAGTTGATAGATGTGTTGATGGGCTAACAGTACTATAGGTTGGCTAACTGACTGGTAGGCTGATTTGGCTGTAGATGCCTAACTGACTGAACGACTGACTGACATGCTGATTAACTGACCGGTTACCAGTGCTTGGGTGATTTGCTTGTCGACTAAGAACTGTCAGGCTGCCTGGTTACATGTTGATCAATTGATATGCTAACACACAGGCCCACTGACTGATGGCTGTCTGGCTGGCTCACTGACTTCCTGTCTGGCTCACTGACTTCCTGTCTGGTCAACTGATTTCCTATCTAGTAAATTACATGTAGATAGGTTTTGTGGTAGCACCATGGACATACATGTATCTCTTTTTGTGTATGCTTGGGTTCTAAAAAGAACCGGTGGTGCTCAACATTTTGGACAGTATGCTCTGCTCCTTACTGATTCAATCCCCCATTACCCGTTTTGTGAACGCTTGACTATTTAGATACTTCTAATTTGTTTTCAATTTATTACTTTAATTTGTATTTTAGGTGAAGTTGCTCATGTCTCCTGAAGAAAGCATCCCAAAGTACGAAGACATCTTCAGGGATGAAGAAGTGAGTGCAAAGATTTAATAACACTCCTGTCAGAATTTGGATAATTTCGATTTAGGGCGATGAAAAACATCTTACAAGTTATTTTGAATAAAAGTTTGATATGTTTCAAAACCTTTTCAGAGATTGTAAAAGCTTCTGATTGTCCAGTGCTAGTTTTCCATTTTATGGCTGAAATACAACCCCCAGTTAGTGAATTGCCAGTTATGTGCTGTGTCGTTAAAGCACCATGAAGGTGAATCAAGCAATTATAGTTGAATTTCAACATAGCTGCTTTTCATTTACAAGGTTTTTCCTTAGAGATTGCTTTGAAAAAAAGGCATCGTTAAAAATATCTTTGAAATGGTATTTCTCTAGTCGGACAATGAGGATGACAGCGGACATGACAGTGATGGTTCAGAACCTAACGGGAAGAGGAGACGTTTTGATGAGGTCAGTTTGGTGTGGACTTTTCCCCAGCTATTCAGAGGAGTGAAAGACCAACTTGACCATGTCTAATGATAATAGGCCAGTCAAGTACTGTCAGAGGCCATCCGATGTCTGATTGATCTCTGATTTTCCTAGTTCTGAGTGTTGTTTCCAAAATGCACATCAAATATCCCACAGAGTCTAGAAATTTAGAGTTATTTGCATATGGTATCGCATTCACCACAACTGTCTTAAGAGGTGGTTTTCAGGCTATCCTGATTTTCTGAAAACCCTAAACTCTATAAAACGTACCTCCAGGGGTTACACATCATTTGAATGATCTTGTTCCACTGAGTTCAATATCACATATTTTACTAATGCTTGGAAATGAATGCATGATTCTTAGAAGGACCTCCTATCTGAGGAATCAAGAATCAACCTAACACGTTCTTCTCTCAACCTTACATATGATTCTTGAAGGAATCACGCATTATCAGTACAACTGCTTTTGGCGAGATGCATTGACTCTGAAAAATGGACTTGTTGCTATGCCTTTGACTTTAGAGCAGAGCTTGTGCCTATGAGACAGGGAATATCAGGAGACTAAGTCTATGAGATTAATCTGACAACCAGAATTAGAAGAGATTACTGCAGTGCAGTGGCACCTGACGTGCCTGTAGATGGCACAAGTATGTTACATGCCTTGTTGACCAGTTGGGTTGTTGACCAATTGGGTTGTAGACCAATTGGGTTGTTGACCAGTTGGGTTGTTGACCAATTGGGTTGTTGACCAATTGGGTTCTGTGACTTACCAAATGCACACTTACCTTGAGTTTAAGAGCGCACATGTGAGTGCGTTACTGCTGTAGTAATGGCGTCTCATCAAATTAGCAATTAAAAAAGACTGGATTTCACAAGAGTGTAGATGTCATATGACACTGTAAACCGTCATGTCTAGCTACAGCAAAACAAAATTGGGACTAGTTTTCTCTGCCTTGTTTCCAGGATGCTTTGGAGAGGAGGATGGAGCGACGACGTCAGCGGAGGGAATGGGATGAACGCAGACACCAACTGCTCTTTGACTATGAGGAATTCTCAGGCTACGGCCAGTCTGTTAGTAAACCTATGTCAAACAACTTCCATTTTCCATAAAACAGCCCAGTCTCTAAGAGCTGTTATTTCTCCATTTTAACATTCTGTGCTGTAGTCCTTATACTTATACATTTTTGCTTTGGAGGTCAAGCACCATGCCAGGTTGGTGCAGGGGTTAGTTGGGAATTTTGGCTTCGTCGCATTCACGTGTTCTTTGCTTGTACTGCGAGCACAGACTTGTGATGCTAAGCTCATAATTCCATCATTAGCTGAGCTGTAAACTGGATCCTGTGATAACCATTTTGCTAGACATTTTTCTTCCATAGTGCTTGTGTTTGAATTGTAAGCAAAAACTTGCACTGTGACTGCAGACTGACAGTCCCTCATGTGTCGATTTAAATCTTCCTTTGCTGGCCAACTTGTTTTGATAGAAATGATTTTCTAGAAGAGAACCTATTTCTCAAGCTTGCTTGCCAGTGGAAAACCAACTCAGACTGCACAGGAAAACTTTCCATGTATTGATTTTTTTGGTTGTTTCGCAGGCTGCAATGATCATGTATGATTTGGCGTGGAAGATGTCAAAAGACACAAATGATTTGTTGTGGTGAGTTGCTCCTTTCGTGGTTCTTTCATTGACGTTGTTCAATCAGTTGGTCATTTAGAAATCGGTCTCCATATTGTGCAGCTGGTCAGATTGGGCACATTTTGCCTACAAACTGAATTTCAACATATGCCTGAGAGCCAGTAACTAGATAATGCTCATTGTGTCACATTTTCAAGCAAAACTTTTCTTTCTACGTTGTTTGGCAAATTGGTTGCTAGTTGTCAAAGAAAGCTAAACAAGAAGGTTTGTGTGACAATATGGCTGCATCCGAATTGGTTGTCTAGAGCTAGGTCTAGGTCTTCCCTCCATTGGAAATGTGCGGAGATGCGTAGACAGTAGACCTAGCAGTAGCTCTGGAGGCCTGTTTCGGACACGGCCTATTGTTCACAAAGACAGATAGTTCTGTGCACTTGCACAAAGATAAGCACATTATGACTTGTGAGTAAATACAATTTTGTGCTTGTTTTTCGGTATAAGGGAAAGTGTGCAAATCACAGTGTTACAATTTGTTATAAGTATGACTGGATTCATTCATTATTTTTCTTTGAACACAGGTGGGCTATTGTTGGTTTGACTGACCAATTGCTTTCCAAGAAAGTTGATAGGTAAAAAATATTTCTTTCTGATCGTGCCTTCCCTTGTTTTCTTTGAATTGGTCACACCTTGAAACCAAAGTTTGTTCTTTACTTGTTATTAACTTGTACCTAGTCCTTTTACATATATCTGTTTCTCGGTGTTATAGTTGAGTTGGCCACAAATCCTTCCAGAAGTCCATTCACAAGTCTGGTCACATGCGCTTCCCTAGTAACAAGTTTAGCCACAATGGCAAAGGAATGCGTGTGGCAGTTGAAGCTTGTTGAGATGGAATTGACTCCAACACTGGTTCTCAACCTTTCCGTCACTGGGCATTTTTCTTTGCCCTTCCAAAGCACTGATGAGAATGTGCACACACCCTCTTTAAAAAATATCACTGCTTACTGTACAACCTGCACTGCTGGCCGTGGTCTTCACTGTATGCAGAAAAATCAAGGGGCCTGTAATATAGGCCACAAGTTAATATATAAGTTCTCTATTTTTCCTTGTCTAGAGAGACTTATGTTCTTGAAGCCACTGAGTTGAATCGCCATGTTGCTCGTCACAACCACCGAGGTGAAGAAGACGACGATTCTGTGTCCATCAACTCCATGAGGATCTCCTTCAACTCAGAGTATCCTTAAAAAACAAGACCTCAGAATAAATTCACAAATGTTACTATTCATGGTGTATTTGCATTGCACTCTGGGAAAGACGAGATAGGTTGGTGGTAATTGTTTCATTTTGGTTCCTGGCACACACGCAAAGACCCTACATTTCAACAGAAATTGGTTGTGCGTGCTCAGTGCATCCCTAGCCGAGTACACACAAACCTGAGTGCACACCTGGCAAATTCCCACCGAAGGACCATTCTTACCGTTTTGAAGGGCAACATCTCTTGCCTTAGGACGGAGTGTTTTGGAGTGGTGGTGTGCCAGAAAGGGTTTCTCTAAAGAGGAAAATTTTGCAGCACTTTCAGGGAAAACAGTTGGTAAATGACATCTTTAAGGACTCACCAGTTTTTATATTTTTGGGACACGTGTGAGCTAAGTTGAAAATTCAATGTATCCACAAGGCTTGAAATGCAGCTTACGCTTGTGCGACTTCCAGTTTTAGATATAGATGCAAGGTGTTGAGCGTGAAATTGGAAATTGGCTTCTTTGAGACAAAAAGGAGTGCTTTTGGGGGGCACTTGTCTCGTGTTTCACTCC